TAATAAAATATAATTTTTTTTTTATTATTTTTATATATTATTAATTAACAATTCCTTATACATCATTTTTTATAAAATAAATGCTAAAAAAAAATTCCTTATAAAATATAAGAAAATGTGTTACGAAATTTCAAAAAACGTATACAAAACTTATTTATAATAATGAAAAAACGTATGCAAATTTTTTATAGGGCTTAATCACTGTAATATTACTAGTATAACTATCAAAGAAATTACTCGCTCATATCTTAATTTAAAATCTCTAGATTTAGAAAGATGTGAAAATATTAAAATATTAGCAAAAAAGCCATAGACCAACTAAATCCAAATATTCATATCGAAAATTTTGATGAAGTTTACTATTCTGATTCAGAATGTTTTAGCTCTGAAACTGAATCAAAGTCTGAATAGTCTAGCTAGTCCAGAGCAGTGATCACATGATTTTATTTTTTTATTTAAAATACAACATATAATACAGAATATTTATAGCATATACAAGCATTTTTATTATATTAGAACTATTAGAACAGATTTTATATTTCTTATTAATAGATAAATCTCTCTATCCTACTTTATTTATTGGCTGACCGTAATATAGATGTGATGCTCCAATTCTATGGAAATGTATTAAGCTAAAGGAAAATGACACATATCGCTTTCGATTGAAAAAATTTATGAAAATAGTGCGTAAAAGACAAAAGTCAGTTTATAGCTCAAATCTTACCTATCTGGAAATTTTACACTACCATCCACTTTCAAATAAAAAATTTAATGACATTGTGCGCTTGTTTTCAAATATAATTTATTTAGATTTCAATTATACTATAGGATTTAACAATAAAATACTAAAACGAATAGTAGAATTATATTCTAATTTGAAGTATTTTAATTTGCAAAAGGACAAATATATATCCTGTAATATAAGTATAATAACTGATGAAGGTCTATATGCAATTGCCCTGTTATGCCATAAATTAGAATATCTAGATATTTCTTATCACACAGATATTCATAAACTATCAATTTGTGATATTATTCATTTTTATTCAAAGTTCAAACAACTTGTCTTTAGCTTTTGTAAAATTACTAATATAATGATTGAAGAGATTGCTAGTTCATGTCTTAATTTAAAATATCTTAATCTAGAAGGGTATTATAAAATTAGCAAAGAAATTGTAGATAAGCTAAATCCAAATATCCATGTAGAGAATTTTGTGAAAATTTTAACGCTTTCTAATCTTATTAGAGTAATTAATAATCAAATTTTAGTTCAAGACCTTCAGAGCCTTTTAAATCTAAGTATATGAAATAATCAGAATTTGGCCTTACATCAGATACACAGGCAATCTAATTTCAATACAATTGTGATAATTTTAGATGATGTACTAGCTGATTAATCTAGCTAGTTCAGAACGGTGATCACTAACTCAGAAGATTTTTTGCATGTATTAATAAAAAATTTTCTTAGCAATTTTTTGAGATAGCCTGTTCCAAAATTTTTTTAGCTGTTTTCAGAATATTAAACAATTCCTTTCATATCTAAAATTATTATTAATCATGTTAGTTAATGAAGCTAACCAACCTGAGCTTGAAGTATTGAGATAGCGCATCATTAATCTAGAGGCTAAGAATGTTAAAATTATGACTGAGAAAGCTGAGCTTGAAATTAAGGATGCTGAGCTTAAGGCTAGAATCGAAGAACTAGAAAAAAATAATAGGTTAGTATTAAGCTCGAATCTGAAAGTGCTGAACTTAAAGCTAAAGTTGCAAAATTTGAAGAAGGATTACAGGTAAATGCAAAATGGTAATGTTACTAAGGTAACTGATTCTCCTAACAACAATTCATCTAACTTTAATTTTATTACAGAGCAAAGATCAGAAGGCAGACAGAATGAGAAAATAGATACTTCATTACCAAAAGAACTAATACTGGGACTCGCATTAAATGGTCTAGGATTCGCGTACTCCTTCCCTCTTTGATAGCATCATATTTTTCATAGCATTTCTCTCTAAAAAAAATTAATAAAGTTTCGCACAGATGAATCTGATATATAATAAATACTTAAGATGACTCGAATTTTATAATTATTTCTTATCAATAACCTAATACTTCAGACTTATAAAACACGTAAATTTAATAAAAGTTTAATAAAAGCTTATTCAGATTTAGATACGCTCACATAGTTTGATATTTAAAATCATATATAAATCACATTTTTCATTTTATTTTTATCTTTACTTCTTCCTTCTAAAACCAATACTTTTATAACTAAAATAAGATGGAATTTTTAGAATTTCTCGACAGGTACAAAAAACATTTTCCTGAAGCAATACCTGAACAAGTTAACGAAGCCTTTCAAGTTAGCAGTAAGTTAGTTTACTCGTCAAAGACCTGCTATTCTTGTTTAGTAATTAACTTTGCCTTTTTTGATAATCTAAGATGAACATTCAGGTAAGCCTTTGTGTCATAATAATTGGTCAGTTCGAACGTGATGTGCTAACTTTGATAGATGCCAATCTTCTTTATTTTTTGAAAAAAATTTTTCTTATACCTAAGAAGAAATGAACGAGATTAAGAAGAAGGTTCGATTTCTTGAGGTTAAGCTCTATAAAACTAAATATACCATTACAGTTTCACACGAAGTAGGAAAAAATGTCTTAGACATAACAAGCATTTTCCCTAATGAAATCCTTTCTTTCCTCACAAGTGAAACACCAATATCAATTGAAAGTTTAGATTTATCACTTTTACAACAGCATTGCGATAATAAAAGTAAAGTGCAGAAGAAATTTATGGAGTTTTTTGACTCCTTAAAAGAACAAACTCGATATAGTATTATTGATACATTATCATCTAATTGGCTCAAAGATCCAATCAGAAAGATTGATATTTCGATTGTGAATGGATCACAAGTTCTTTGGGCTCATCTTGTATTTACAATTAAGATTAAATATTCATTATATAATACTACCATATATCATGAGGCTGTTGGACAATTGGTGGATTGATTTCAAACAGTTTTTCAAATGCAACCTAGCTGACTATTTATTATCAGTGCTGTTTGTTGTGACAAGCTTGTAGAATTTATATATACTAATTTAGAACTTCAACTTAAGCGATCAGACTTAATGGAATTCAATATTACAAAACCAACAGGAATACAAATGTTGTTAAATCTGATTAGTTTAAATCTACACCAACTCAGCTATTCTCCACCTGAAAATCACAAAATGTTAATCAGTACTATGGACTTTACATACAAAAACCTTCTTTGATGAACGGATAATAAATGGGGAACGCTTGTTCTCTTTGGCTCTATAAATTCAAAAAAAGCTATTTTTAAGGTTTCTAATAATCTCAATAATGAACTTAAAATGCTTGGAATACTTAGACTGCAAATATATTTTCCAAGTCATTAAATAAGGATTTCTTTTAGATGGCAGAATATACACTCCCTTCCAAAAAATATCCGACCACCCGTTGATCATTGCAAATCCTAACATATTAAAATTTGAATTACGCCACAACTAATACATATAAATAAAAAATTTTTTTTTCTCATGTAGGTGCAGTTACAAATAGTTTGAAAATAAAAAAATCTTTTTTTAAA